ATATCTGATTACCACATACCACGCAGCTGCCCATGAATGGCTTAAAAAAAGCAAGTGATGTCCATTTTCAGGGTTAATGGTATTTTGATGCATTAAAGTGGCTTACTCCAAGGCTGTCAGCTTTTTTTTTTTTTTTTTTTTTTTTCTTCTTCTTTTTTTCTTTTGTACAAGGCAAGGTTTTTGCCTTTTTATAGCTGGTTACCAAAGTATAGCAGTAGCCCTGTGCCTTAGGGCATTTGATTTGAAACTTCATACTAAAGCGTCCATTAGGGTTTGATCACTCAGACTCATTCCTTTGAATGTGTACACTTCAGTTCAAGCTGTAGAGGTTTGCAAACATGATTTTTATTAAACCCTCAGTGTTTTTTAGCTTGACACACTGATGCACACAACATAGGGGACAAGCTCCAGTCCCTGTGTGCAAGGGTGGCTGCGTAGATTGCTGCAGGAGAATGCACTTTTAAACAGCAAAGCTTGAGCAGCAATCAAGACACAAGCTGAAACTTATACAAGTGGTAAAACTTGCTGAAACTGATACAAGATTAAAGTGGTACTAAAGGCATTTTTTTTTTTTTTTTCTAAAATGAAAGGTTAAACATAAGCTGTGCATCTGATAGTGTAAGCTGGTCTGTGCAATGATATTGTAGTCAGACCCTTACTGCTTTTGTGGTCCCCCTCCTTACAAGCAAAGCCATTAGCAATGTTCTCTGGGGCACCCATGCAGGTGTGCTTCCTGGCTGGACTGTGCGTCCAGATGTACAGTGTTGCTTGGCTATGCCCCCTGCTCGCTCCTAGAATTTAACAGCAGGATCCAGTGGTTTGGCTGCTCGGTGTAAGCATTTGAGAGCAAGAAGTGCTGGATTGATAGACTCAGGTAAGTGGTTCTAACCTCCAAAGGTTTTTTACCTTTTCTACATTCTCTGCCTTAAAGTGAAACTGTTCTCCTTCATAAGGCTAATACTTTTCAGTATCCTGCCTCCTACTCTCCTCTGCAAGGGGTGTGAGCATTTTGGTCTCTTCTGTTGTGACTAGGGATGCACCAAAAGTTCAGCCACCGAAACATATCGGCCAAAAATGGCTCTATTGGCATTTAGCCAATACAGGGGACTGTGTACTGCAGAGGGGGGGGGGGGGGGGGGGGGGGGGGGGGGGGGGGGGCAGGACCACTTTCCCTGAGCTAAAGGTGTGTTTTTTTTTTTTTTTTTTTGTTTTTTTTTTTAGTTTCTTTCCTGAGCTAAAATGGTGAAGAGGAAAAAAAGCCAGCAACTGCGTTTAAAAACCGGCAGTGACAGCCAGTGAGGGAGCCTCTCTGTATACACTACCTCCCTGTATACATTGCTCCTCTCCTGCCCCCCTCCTTGCACACAACCCCCCCCCCTTACAAAGATGGCTTGTCACTCCTATGCTATCGCATAAAAAATGACCATAAAATCATAAGTTAAAAATATACATAAGTGTAAAGAAAAAAATTGGAGACTCCCCACCCCCATATACACTGCTTGGTTTTCGGCCACATGCATTCTGAATCTTCGGTTTCCGCACCAGAATTATCATTTCGGTGCACTACTAGTTGTGATTTTCTGCATTCAATACAATATTGACCCAAAGGGGCAGTTTTATTGTTAATTTGTGGTCTTAAATGTCTGTCTCTTGGCGAAAATATATGTACAGCCACCTTATACAGTTGGGAAAATAATTATTTGATCCCCTGCAGATTGTAAGAAATGAAGGGTCTATAATTGTTCTTGGGTGTATTTTAAATGTTAGAAACAGAATATCAACCAAAAATGCAGAAAAAAAAAACCATACAAATGTTCTAAATTGAGTTGCAGTTCAGTGAGTAAAATAAGTGTTTGATCCTCTACCAACCAACAATAATTCTGGCTATGTGCACCGATTAGTCCTGTCAATTTAAGAAGGTGCTCCTAACCACACATTGTGTATAAAAGACCCTTTCAGATTCTTTCTTGCATTCAAACCTCACCATCATAGTAAAGACCAGAGCGTTGTCAAAGGATGTCAGGGACAATATTGTAGACATTAGAGCGATTATTTGCAAATGGAAGCAATACAAAATAACAATCAATCTCCCTTAGTCTGGAGCGCCATGCAAGATTTCACCTCATGGGGTAAGGATGATCATGAGAAAAATGAAGGATCAGCCCCGAACTGTGATAGCAGAAAAGCAGCGCTCAAACAGGAAACACACCTGATTCAGCAGTGGGATCCAGGATGGCGTTCTCAGGCTCCAAAGTGTTCTCCAAACACTGGTTACAGGATACAAAAAGCAAGAAGAGCCAGCAACTCCGGAGTTGCCAGCTCTTCCTGGTGGTTTTGTTTTTTTTGTTCTCTTTTTGTATCTGCTTAGAAGTGCATGGGAGGAGCTTGTGAATGATCTTGGTGCTACAGTCACCAAACAAACCAATGGTAACACAATACGCCCCATGGATTGAAATCCTGCAGCACCCACAAGGTCCCCCTCAAAGCACATGTACAGGCCCATCTGAAGTTTGCCAATGAACATCTAAATGATTCATAGATTGATTGGGAGAAAGTGCTGTGGTCAGTTGAGACCAAAATTGGGCACTGACATTAACTCGCTTTGCTGTGTTTGGAGGAAGAAAAATGCTGACTATGATCCTAAGAACACATCCCTACAGTCAAGCATGGAAGTGGAAACATGCTTTGGGGCTGTTTCTCTGCTAAAGGTACAGGCCAACTTTGCCGCATTGAGTGGCCAATGGACGGGGCCATGTATTGTAAAATCTTGCATGAGAACCTTCTTCCCTCAGCCAGAACACTGAAGATTGGTTGTGGACAGGTCTTCCAGCATGTCAATGACCCAAAACATACCACCAAGTCAACAAAGGAGTGGCTCAAGAAGCACATTAAGGTCATGGAGTCGCCTAGCCTGGAGGCAGCTGAAACTTCGAATTGCCAAGGGACAAGCGGGAAACCTTAAGGATTTAGAGATCTCTAACAAGTGGACCAAAATCCCTCCTGAGATGTGTGCAAACCTAGTAACCAACGGCAAGAAACTTCTTGCCTCTGTGCTTGCTTGTTTCTCGTCAAAGTACGATTTCATATTTTGTTTGAGGATCAAACCCTTATTTTACTCACTGAACAGCAACTCCTATTTATAACTTTTTTTTTTTCTGGATTTTTGGTTAATATTCTGTGTCTATGGTTTTAAAATACACCTATTATAAACCCTTGATTTCTAAGTGGGAAAACTTTCAAAATCTGCAGGGATCAAATAATTTTCCCTGCTGTAACGATGCTGTGGTTAAAAAAAAAAAAAAAAAAAAAAAAAAAAAAAAAAACTTGCTCAGTTTGTCCAGTATTCCAGTCATACTGGCATTAGGATACTTTAATAATGTGCTGGTTCTCTATAAGGATAGATATCTGCCTCCAGGAAATGTTAATGGTCCTATTCAGCTTGTGAAGCAACTTCTGGAATTTGGTCTGTTTGACATATGAAGACTTAAACATCCCAATATGAGGGAATATTTCTGTTCTAGCACATGTCCAATGCTGTCTAGGGTAGATCTTGCTTTCTGTACAACTGACTTTCTTCCGTGGATTGGATTGCTTGCATATGCACCAAGAAGCTTGTCTGATCATTCGCTTGTGTGGTTTGATGTCCAGGTGGTTTGTTTTGGGGACACTGCTTTGGAGGGTCAACCCTTGTTGGCTGAATTTAATTACACCTAAGGATGCCATTGACTGTCTGAATATTTTTATAATATATAATAGAGGTACAGCATCCCCACTAGTGGTCTGAGATGTAATGAAAGCAAATTTAAGGGGGAACCTTATTAAGGAGATCTTACATTGAAAAAATGGGGGATATTATGCAGGTGATTAAAAGCAGCAGAAGAAGCATTTATAATCAGAAATTACTCAGCATGGCAGGAGGCACAGAAAAATCTTTTTAAAACTGATATTTTGAGGAAGGAGAATAGATGAATCCCCTTCTGGTAATCATAGCTCGAGCCCAGCAAGATCCTACTAGATCTGCATTACAAAATCTGAGGGTGGTATTGTATGACATGCCCTCTAGAGTGCAAATTATTTAATTTTATACGGCTCTTAAAGGACTGTAATACCATACCTGTCCAATTTTTAGCAACACTTGCATTTCCAAAATTAACACACAGATTGACGCTGGATGCCCCTCTGTCTTTGGAGGAGTTAGAATTGGTGGCCTCACAAATGCATACAAGGCCCCTGGATTGTCCATGTTTTTGGAAAGTTTATTTTATCACCATGTAATTGTGAAGTGATTGGTTTGCAGGATTGTTGGTTTTGTAAAATGTCTTTTAAAAAAAAAAAACAAATTGGGGAACACAATGTAGGTTTTCTTTGCTGATTTGGAAATTCGAACCTAGCTATTCTGATCTAAAGCTTTGATTCTGAGATTGTGTTCTGAACCAAGTATGCAGCTTAGAACTTCACACTTGTACTACATTTATATTCAAGATGCAGTCAGGCAACTAGTGTTTTTCACAAGTTTAGGAAAAGCTGTGGCTAAATGGGATGCATTTTCCCCCCACGGGGTCCTTGTAATCTATCCCTACAGTGTTGAAGCTAAAGGTAAAAAAAAGCTTGATACTTTGCAGCCAGAGATCAGCAACATGGTGGAATTTCACACTAGCAAGTAAATACCTGCTCTCCTACAGATGGTGAACACAATGTCAGATCCTGCACTCCAGTTGGGACACTGGAAAGTAGTGATGGGTTCACTGTAAAAATATTTTCAGACAGGCTGATACTGTATTCAGACTGTTGACCTATGGACCCTTTCACCTCTAAAGTGTTAAGGTTTTTGTTCTTTTTCCAGGATAACAGGCTGAGCATAACAGAGGATCTTGCATCCTCTAACAGGACCAGAATTCTTAATGTCCAATCTAGGCTAACGGATGGAAAACAAGTAGAATGGAAAGCTGTACTAAACAACAACAATTTGTACATAGAAATCCCAAGTGGCACACTCCCTGATGGGAGCAAAGATAGGTAAGTTAATACAAATTCTTTAGTGATTCAAATTAAAAGGCACTGTAAACATTTTATGCTTTCTATAACATATTTGTGTGCAACCTTCTGTGTAATGCATGGTCAAATCAGGCCTGTATTTACAATAGTCAAGGGCTCTGGTATCTTACTAGTTTTCTTACATTTTCTCCATGGTGGTATGTGAACAAGCAGTGCCGCTGGTTCCTGAGACAATTGGTAGCTTTTCTGCACACACTGCTAGATCCAGAGCTGTTTTGTGTAAATATTTCCAGGGCTATAAGGTTTTAAAACCGTTTTTTTTTAGTGTGTGCACGCATTTTGTCTAGTGTCCTGTGCACTGCCATCCAGAGCAGTGTGATTAGTGACATGGCCCCTTAGTAAAACACTCCCTGCAGTTAACCCTTTGATTGCCCCTCATGTTAACCCCTTCCTGCCAGTGCCATTAGTGTCCATGGGGTGTTTGGGGTTTTTTTTTTGTTTTTCTTCTATGCACAGATCACTGTATTGGTCACGCTGTAACTTTAACGTAAACCAATTTACACATATTGGGGTTTTTTTTTATTTAGCAAAGACATGTAGCAGAATACATTTTGGTGTAAATTTGATTTCTGTTTTTACTGGACATATTTAACTACTTGTCAACTGCAGATAGCCGAATGACCGCTACACTGCGGCTGGCCAGTTCTGGGAGGGCGTCATATGACGTCCTCCCCAGAACGCGCTCTTCTGCACACCCCCGGCGATCTCCGTGATCGCGGTGTCCTACGGACACAGCTGATCACGTGATGTAGTAAAAGGCCAATTACAGCTTCCTTTTACCATGTGATCAGCTGTGTCCAATGACACGCTGATCACCGGGAAATGCAATTGCCAGTTCTCGGCTGCACTTTCCTCACGCTGTCAGAGCGTGAGGAAAGTACTGCCGAGAACCGGCAGTTGTCAGAGCAGGGATCGGCACTGATCAGTGCCCTGATCTATGCCCAGCAGTGCAGCCCAGCAGTTGTGCCAGTCAATGCCACCTATCGGTGCCGCCTAATCAATGCACATCAGTGAAGGAAAAAAATTACCGGTTTGCAAAATTTTATAATAGCAACAAACTTTTTTTTTTTCAAATTTTTTTGCAATTTTTTTGTTTATCTCAAAAAGTAAAGTGCCCAGCGGCGATTAAATACCACCAAAACTCTAATTGTGAGGGGGAAAAAAAAAGATAAATTCATATGGGTGCAATCTTGCATGACCGCGCAATTGTCAAAGTGCGACAGCTCTGAAAGCCGAAAATTGGCCTGGTAAAGCAGCAGGTAGAAGTGCCTGGTAGGCAAGTGGTTAATAGCAAAAAGTCAAATAGTTGTGGTTTTTTTCCCCTCAATTGTCGATTTTGTGTTATTATTTTGCGCCCCCCCCCCCCCCCCCAAAAAAAGACTATCAAATACCAACAAAGAGTTCAGTTTGTGGGGGGGGGGGGGACTTAAGTTTAACTTGGGTGCAGCATTGCATGACCTCAATTGCCAGTTAAAGTAACACAGCAACGTAATGCAAAAAATGGCCTGGTCAGGAAGGAGGGGGGGCGGGGTAAATCCTCATGAGGGCAAGTGGTTAATGGGATTCTAGGATTCAAGCAGCACAACAGATGTTGATTTGAACACTGACCCACCAACTTGCAGTAGGTTGTCTGTACTCGGCATGAATTGCCTAAAACATTTTTGGGCAGATTTGGTCTCAAGTAAAAATGAGCTGAACAGCTTTTGGTATGATTGCTTTGGCTTTCTGAGACCTGGAAGATGGTATGAGTTCAAGTAACTGACAAGGGAAAAAAACTGAGTAATTATTGGCTGCTTTTTGTGTTGTCCTCAGGCAAATGAGGAAAAGCTGACTAAAAGTAAATCTTTAGGATTGCTTCTAAAAAAGGAAATCTAGCTAACTGAGGAATATTGCCTTGTATTTTTCAGTTTTGCTGTTCTGCTGGAATTTGCAGAGGAGCAACTCCAAGTTGACCATGTTTTCATTTGTTTCCACAAGAACAGAGATGATAGAGGTAAGTTTATTTGGGGGGGGGGGGGGTGTGTATTGTCAATTATGACGACAGCAGAGTAAGAAAATACTGCTGCTAGAGAAACTAGGTGCTGTTTACACAATCCTACTCCCAGTAACCCCAGCCTTGCCCTGGGATGCAAAAGTACACTGGAAGAGGAAAGCGCAAGAGCCTTATGTAATTTAAAATTTGTTGAAATCAAAGTGCAAATACAGCTGTGGCGGTGCTGTGCCATATTTCACACCCATCGATGCTTAATTGTAAGGCTACCACTCTTATGGTGGCTAAGTACTGCTTGTTGCAAAATTATTTTTTAAAAACCGTATGCCAGATAACAAATGGCTTGCAAGAGAATGTAAAATGAGTAGATGTGTATGTGAAGTTTCTACACTTGATGCAAAGTAATAGCATTGCTACTTTTAAAACCTGGCATCAATGTGTAAATGACAAATGGATGGTAGTGTGAGGGCCCACTCACCCCAGCCATGAGCTAAAAATCTAGCATGTTGGCTGGTGTACAATGCCTTGCCCATTTACAACATAAGGCATGACTTTTAAAGTATCATTAAACCTACATCATAAACTGGCAATAAATGCTGTATTACTTCCTGTTCATACTCCATCACTATGGGATTCATATTCTGTATTCTGCAAAAACCTGGTTGATCCTGCTCTTCATCTCCCCCTTCTGTCAATGTCCCCAATGCAGTTTGGGATTTTGCAGAGCAGTGTTGGCAGCTACTGCACATGCTTAATTTTCAGTGAGTTCCTATGCTTGGCATTTTCTCTATATTTACATGGGCTGCTCAGATGTGATAGGGAGTCACAAGTGGGTGTATACACAGTGGAGAATGACAGCCAGTTCCTCCCTCATGCCCAATAACCAGATAAATACAATGTGGGTGGGAGATTACATCTTGATTGATGGAGACTTCACAGTCCAGCCCCCCCCCCCCCCCCCCCCACCTTCTAAGACACAGGCTGGAGAGGCAAGATGACCTGTGACTGTCAAATCTGCCAAAAAAATAGATTTGATTTCAGATACCTCTTTACATATTTAAAAGTTTGATGTTTTTGCTCTGTATCCGATGTCTTGCTTTTTGAAGTTGCACACACATTGAATGGTGACAGACTAGGGTACATTAAATTATCCATATGCTCAGCCTTAAAAGCTTTTACAGTTTACCAGTTTAGAGTTGGTCAAGTTGAGGTCTGGTGCTGACGTTCCCTGAAGTGTGTGGAATGATCACCATTTACTACATGTGCGGTACCTACATGACTAATTGCAAAAACAATGTCCTCATAAGGAGGTGTGAGCAAAATGTGAGGTTTTATATGCACTGAAAAATGCAACATGTTATGTGCTGTCATTCATTATGATGCAGCAGAGAGGGGCATAACGTTTTTGTAGTGGTAGAATAACTTTCCTCATGGAAGGACCTAGGAGTTTCGGAAGTAGTTCAGTGGACTAACTAAATCGTTTTGATAGGTGTTAAAGTAGCATCGACAGCTCAAATGCCAGTCAAAACAGACTTTGGGGGATACTTGCTAAAACTGGAGAGTGCAAAATGTGGTGTTTCTCTGCATAGAAACCAGCTTCCAAGTTTCATTGTCAAAACTGAATTGAACAAGCTGAAATTATAAGTTGATTTGGCTGCCATGCACAGCTGTACCAGTTTCGGTGCTCCAGGTTTGGTAAATCTGCCCCTATGAACTGCTCACTTTAAGAAAAAAATCTCTTGGCAAGAAATAGTGCTCGGATTGCTCCTTTTTAATGTGCACTTAAATAAAATCTAAAGCCTCTGAGGTGTGAATTTGGAAATGTGGTTCAAATGATATAATAATTTTTAACCAGCTTTTTCAATCTTTTGCAGCTGCACTTCTCCGAACCTTCAGCTTCTTGGGCTTTGAGATTGTGAGACCTGGACATCCCCTTGTCCCTAAGAGACCAGATGCTTGCTTCATGGCTTACACATTTGAAAGAGATTCTTCGGATGAGGATTAGTAATCTTGCAATGTTCCGCGTCTTTAGAGCTTTTTGTTTTTGCCCCTCCCCCTCTCCTTTTTATTAGTCATCTAAGATGAGTTGTGAAACAATTTCAGCATCTCTTCAGTTTACTGCTGTGGTTGAATGTTTGCCCTGGTCTCTGTCCAGGTTAGAGCTGATAGTGAAGGCAGGATGTTGAATTTTATTCGTCAGATCCTCTTTCCTGAATTTTTGTTTGCATGTTTTGATGTTGAATAAATGCGCACTCCAGATTATTGCAATGTCATTTGAAGTTTAATGTGTTTTAGTGATATCAAAGTACTTTAATTCTAAATAAAACATTTATATTATGTTTTTTAAAAAGAAACCTTTTACTTTCAGCCCAGGGGGAAGGGGGGGGGGGGGCACAGAGGTAAGGTTTAGAAGGAAAGCATGGTTTGACAAAAATTGACCATTGACAGGTAAAGTCAATATCTCATGACAATGGCATCTGAAGGTGAGTGGCATGTATTGGGCAGCAGGTGAACATATGTTATCCTTGGGCTTGGATGCTTGGGTGAAGGTCAGATGCAGCCATGCTGAAATGTATTGGCCATTTGTGACTGCAACATGTCAGCACTGTTGCATCTGCCCTGCACGGGTGTCTAATGATTTACAAGCCCAACGATGAGTGCCAGTATTTTTCAGTTGTGTACATAGGCCACATGAGCCCTTTACGATAGCACCCACTACTTATTCCACACAGCTATTGGGTCCAGCCAGGCTGAGCACAGTGACTTTATGTGGACAAGGTTTCAAATGACTTCGACGGGTCAAATTGTAATGGCTAGGCACATGTCGACAGCCAAAAAGCATACACTGGGGATGTGAACAAAACTGGACCACTAAGCAGTAGATTTCCTGGTCTGAGTATTGTTTTGTGTTTTTTTTTTTTTTTTTTTTTTTTTTTTTTTTTTTTTTTTTTTTATAGCATTTGGATGGGGGGTTTGGGTGCATCTTACATGGGGAGATATGGCACCGGGATACGCTATGGGAAGAAGGCAAGCCAATGAAGACAGTGTGACGCTTTGGGCAATGTTGTAGAAAACATGGGTCCTTCATTTGTATGTTCATTTGACACATTCAACCTACCTAACATTGTTGCTGACAAAGTACACACTTTCATGCAAGCTATTTCCTGATGGCAGTGGCTTATGAACAGGATAGTGTAATGTGGTTTGAGAAAACAATGGGCTCATGGTGACTTGACCTCACAAATTCTACAGATCTCATTCCAATCTATAATCTGTTGGATGTTGGGGAAAAAAAAAGTCCAGATCATGGAGATCTTGCAACTTAAAAGTATCTGCTACTGACCGCTTGGTACCAGATACCACCTTCTGAGGTCCTTGCTTCAGTGGGTCTGGGCTGTTCTGACAGTAAGAGGACCTACTCAATATTGGGGTAAGTAGTGAAAATGTTATGGGATGTAACATGTTATGGATGCAGATGTGCTTGTGTTGCTGCATTCATATAATCCAATACATTATGGGAGGTATGTGTAGACAACATGTAGTTCTGTCTACAAACTTCAGTTTTGATAAACTTCACGTGGTTGTAAAGGCTTTAAAAGTGAAGTGTGGGATTTAAAGAAATAAACATTCATATTCACGTAGGTGGATGGAGAATCTGTTTGCTGACTCCACTGAGAACTTGGCGATAAAAGACCACTGTTCACTCATCTCTTGGGTCTGCTCTGTTTTTTGCCCCTCCAGCACTCACTAGCCTGTGAATGATTGGTCTCCCAGCTGAATATGGAGAGATTGAGCTAGCTGCCAGTTGGGCATCTGGGCAGATTAGAACATTACTGTCTGGCTCCCTGCAGAGCCTGGGCTGTCTTTGACATTAGCCAACAGTGGGTTTTAGCTTGCAGTTGGCTGAATCTGGGTCACAGGAGTGCAGAACAAAGTGCCACAAGAAGTTCAGGGTTTTTTTTTTTTTCTCTTCCTCCCCCTTGTGCATTCTCTGGATTGAGGTTAAAAAAAAGTTTTTGGAATTCCTAAACGCCAGGTGTCACCCTGTTTTTTTTCTTTGGTTGTTACTCTAGTCCCACCAAGTATGAGACCATATCTCCATTTCTTGCTTTACGCTAGATTATGTGTAGCTTGAGTTTTAAAGTGTTTCTTAACCACTTGAGCTCCTGAGGATTTACCCCCCTTAATGACCAGGCCTCTTTTTTTTTTTTTTTTTTTTTTTTTTTTTTTTTTTTTTTTTTTGTGTTACTCGGCGCTGCACTAATTCAACTGATAATTGCGCGGTCATGCAATGCTGCACCCAAACTAAATTTGCGTCCTTTTTTTCACACAAATAGAGCTTTCTTTCGATGTAATTTGATCACCTGTGCGCTTTTTTATTTTTCACGCTACAAACAAAAAAGTTTGAAGAACAATATTTTTTACTTTCTGCTATAATAAATATATAGTAAACTCAAAGTTGGTTATAAATTTTGGCCAAAATGTATTCTGCTCCATGTTTTTGGTAAAAAAAAAAAATCCCAATAAGTGTATATTGATTGCTTTGTGTGGAAGTTATAGCGTCTACAATCTATGGTATAAATACTGCAATTTACGCCATTTTTCTGCTATACCAGGGGTCTGCAACCTTTAAGACATAAAAAGCCACTTGGACCCATTTCCGAGAGGGAAAAAGACTGGGAGCCGCAAAACCATTGCAACATTTAAAACAAATCCGACACTGCATATATTGCAAAAAAGCGCTCCTTTGCAATATATTGCAAAAACCTTTGCTCCACGCGTTCCCGCGCCGTTCCAGGGTAGCATAAAAATCTGTCTCCTATGAGGATCTGTCCCCCTCGACGTATCTGCGCATGTGCCAGTTTCAGGCATTAGCAGCCGATTGGCGATCTCCAGCACATGCGCAGATACGTCGAGGGGGACAGATCCTCATAGGAGACAGATTTTCATGCTACTCCGGTCTTCAGGGTGGACTGTGAGAGGAGCCTAGCTCCGTGGGCCAGATTAAGGTCCGCCGGGCCGTAGTTTGCCCATTGCTGCCCTATTGCCTGTCACCTGGTGGGCAGTGTGCTCCGGAGCCGCAGCCAAGGTGAAAAAGAGCCGCGGGTTGCCGACACCCGTGCTATACAGTGCTGCGCTAGTTTAACGGACAATTGCGCGGTCATGCAATATGGTACATAAATTAAATTTACTTTTTTTTTTTTTTTTTTTTCCTTTTCCCCACAAATTGAACTTTCTTTTGGTGGTATTTGATCGCCTGTGCGGTTTTTTTATTTTTTGCGCTATAAAAAAAGGCTGACAATTTTGAGGGAAAAAAAACAATATTTTGGACTTTTTGCTATAAAACATGTCCAGTAAAAAATGCAAAAATCAAATTTAGTCATACATTTCTGCCAAAATGCGTTCTGCGATATGTCTTTGCTAAAAAAAAAAAAAAAAAAAAAAAAAAAAAAAACCCCCAATACGTGTAAATTAATTTGGTTTCTGTGAAAGTTATAGCGTTTACAAATGGCGGGAAAGATACTGGGATTTAAAATTTTTATTTATACTAATAATGGTGCCGATCAGTGACATATAGTGGCAATCAGCGACTTATGGTGGGATTGCGGCGGACATTTTGACACGGGGGGGGGGACACTGACTTGGGGTCACTGACATCCCCAGTGACACCAATACAGTGATCAGTGAAAAAAAACCACTGAAACTGTACTAATGTCACTGGGGAGGAAGGGGTTAACATTTTAGAATTTGCTGTGTAAGGGGAGTGTTTTACTAGGGGACAGGGTGTGTGTACTGGACGGGGGGGAGGGAGGAGGGAGCTGATCGAGGGAGAGAAACGCTTCTCTCCCTCTGCAGCTTGTCAGCGAACTGTCACAGAGCAGGCTGTGTGTAAATAATGCAGCCCTGCTCTGTGTCAGTGATTACTGCTCATCGCGGGAAAACGGCCGGTAAAACCTGGCCGTGACCCGATGGCAGAGACCTGCTGCTGACACTCGTGGGACGGGCAGGGCAGGCGCGCGCCCCCTTCCTGGTTTGAAGGCAGATGTTTTAAAACGTGCTTTTGCCTATGAGCACCGCCCTGCCACCGTTTATATGCGGTGGCTGGGCGGCATGTGGTTAAAACTACCTGGAAACTAGGCTTGTGTTTTTAAACGTTTATATTTTAAGCGCTTCAAACTTGGTCCTAAAAATTTAACCGCTCAGAGCTTTGTGTCGGGTAGCTCTCCTCCATAGGTTGTACACTCTACAGCTGCTTCTGACTAGAAACCGTTAGTAGGTACTCAGGCACTTCCTACTGCACCTTCTTCCCCATGAAGACTTTAGTACAACACAGTGATGCAATGTATTTTTTTCTCGGATGCACTTTAACTCATTTCTTCACCCTTCTCCCCTTACTGACAAATGTCAGAAACCTGAAATGAGGAAACTTTGGCAAAAGCTCAGGCAAACATTTCAATCGCCAGAAGACCTGCAAAAGGAGACCGTTGCCTTGTGCCCAAAACCCTCCTTTCTTCTTAATGTGTTGTCAGCCTTCTACCTTGGTAAAAACACACAGGAGTTAGACAAAAAAGGAAACCCTACACAAGTTGTAGGTGTGAAAGTGACATGTTAGTGTTGAAAGCAGAAGTGATGTAACATTCTTATGCTTCTGCTGTGTGATGAGACTCCTAGCGAACAAATAGGAAGCCTTACTTTAATCATTCACTGTGTGCTGCTAGCAAGACAGTCATGTCAGAGGTTACTCGGCTTCAAAGAGCAAACTTACTGATTGCAAGAACTGAGCAATCGCATGACTACTGAATCACTTAGTTCGCAGTCAGCTCTGAGTAAATATTGACGATCCAACTCCCCCAAAGTAATAAGTATAATCCTTGATTCTGGCCGTCTTGTGACCCCACATCAATTAGTTGTCCAAACC